TACTGAGTCATCCAGGAGCAGAATTTTGGGTCTCTCTGACAAGCTCTCTCCAGCCCCCCATCCTCCTGAGAGTCTTGCCTGTAGGCCAACCTCTCCTATGCTCTCTGCTCCCTCCCCCAGTGTTTGGCAATAACAACTTGTTTGGGTCTCCTGTTCCCATTTTCTTCCCAGTGCTACCCTGGTTACCAGAGTTACCTTCTTTTTCCTTTTTTGAAAATCACTCAAGCATTCTGAAAAACTGGCATGAGAAATGTTTTCCTTCAACAAGTATGGATGCATAGCTTCACGTGCACATCAAAGACGTGTATTTTGGAGTCTGTTAACATTGTAAGCTCCCTAAGCAATGAAGGACCAGTCCACCCTCTCCTCTGCAACTTCTTCCAGCACTTAGGACTTATGAAATATTATGATTTCTTGGAGCAAAGAGTAATTTTACTGACCAAATAAAGGTAATCATCCCACTTCCCACTGAGAAATATACACATATGGAATTCATTATTCCAAGAGTTCCTACTGGCAGAAAAAAAATCTAAATGTATTCAAAAACCCTGGAGAAACGTACGCCAGAGACAAGGTTGTTTTCTAAGACACACACTCCTGAAAAAAAAGAGAGAGAAGGATGGACTTAATCCTTAATGCTGATCTACAGGGTGAGATGTCCGTGTGTAGGAAGTTTTTACATGAGACCAACTGATGGGGTGCCTTTCCCACAGCATAGCATAGTGCTGGCTCATATGTTTATGCATTCACTCAACCTGTATTTAAGCATGTACATGATCCAGCTAGAGTTACTGGAGTTGCTTTTCTAGTAGTGATAACAACTTCAGCCCAACAACCCTGACCTCTGGACCCAGACCTGAGACCACAAGGCGCCTACTGGGGTTGGGCTGCTGCCTGTGGCCGTGAGCCACTAAGGAAATGACCCATGACCTAGACATCATCGACTCCCTGCTCTAATTCGCCAGCACAAACATCACTTAGAATGTCATTCTGAAGAGCTGACACTGTTGGCTGACCTACCATGGAAGGGAGGCATCAGGAACTGCCATGGTGACTTCATGACAAATGTCTTCCCTCACTCCTTCTTGCCCCAAGAATTAGGTTCCTTGATTTATTTTCAAAAAATTTTATGCAGCAAAGTTAGAAAGTGCACAGTACCTTTGTTACAAATATACTTTCTCATCTAGGCACAGAATACCAGGAAGCAGCCTTGAAATTATTTTCCAAGATCTAAGGAAAATATATTTTTGTGCAAGTGTACTTGCTACATTAAGCATTTGATTAACTTCCTGTTCTCTGGGAGGAAATGCCAAGTGTGTATATAGGAGTAGAGTATAGTGTGGGGTTAATTAATCTTTAACAATAAGAGGGAGAAACAAATATTTTGAAGTCTAATGTTGCCTCTTCCTACCTTCCATGTCTCTTAACCTCTCTTTAATATTTTTCTTCATTTTAACTTTCTGTACTGCATTCTTTCTGTACTGCATTCATAGCTTTTTGTAACCTAGCTTCTGATTCACCAATTCTTTATTTTTTTTTTTCCAGTTGTGGTTCTTCTGCTCTTTAATGGAATTTGGGTTTTAAAATTCAGTGTCTGTATTTTTCATTTCTAAAAGGTCTCTTTTATTCTTGTAAAAATATATCTCCTTTTACCTAAGTAGTTGCTTATGTTTTTCATTGCACCTTTTGTTTCTTTAATTATTGTACACATTCCTTTTTAATAATCTGGATCTATTAATTCCATTTCTTGAAGTTCTTAGAAATTTGAAGCTGTTCATGCTTTTGCTGACTTTCATTTGCAGTGGATTCTTTTCGCATGTGGTCCATAAATTTGGATTGTGACTGCATGTTCTGCCTGGCCTTATTTGTCAAAATCTCATGGGACAGTAAGACATGAATAAGAAATAATACAGGGCGGGGGGGCAGGTGGTGGCGCAGGAAGGATGACAAAAATTGTAATTATTTCCAGATTATTTCATTATGTACCTAGAAAATGCAGGAGACTCAACTGACAATTAAAACTAATAAAGCTATCAGACAAACTATTGGAACTAATAAAAAAGCAAAAGCAACAAAAAACAAAGGAAAGAGGCCTAGTAAAGAATAACTTACTAAAACCATTAGCATTCCAAGAAGCCAACAATACCCAATAAGGTTACCTGATTTTTTTAAAGGATTTTATAAAAAATAACTTTAAAAACAGCTATATAATATGCTTAGGAATAAACAGGTCAAAAATGTGCAAGACTTATAAAAACCTATCAAACATTACTGAAGTTATTGAACTTTTTAAAAAGGAACCCTGAATTAATGGAGATGTCAAACATGTTCCTGGATACAGAGATGCGAAATTATAAACATGTCAGTTCTTCCCCAATTAGCTAATAGGTTCAATACAGTTATAAATGAGCACTTTTTGAATGAACGTGGGAGGAATTCCAGTGGGACAGAATGGCTAGAGGGGGCTAGAGTTGGGAATTTCCCTTCTGCCAGGTGGAAGGCTAGAGCTGACTAGAGTGGGGTATTTCAAGAGAAAAATTACAAGGTATACTAAAAGGCAAAAAACAATTTGAAAAGACAGCAAACATCAGAACTGGACGTGGGAGGGATATTCGAATTATCAGACGACAAATTTAAAACAACTGTGATTAATGTGCTAAGGGCACTAATGGATAGAGTAGTCAGCATGCAAAGACAGATGAGCAGGGGCTTCCCTGGTGGTGCAGTGGTTGAGAGTCCGCCTGCCGATGCAGGCGACACAGGTTCGTGCCCCGGTCTGGGAGGATCCCACATGCCGCGGAGCAGCTGGGCCCGTGAGCCATGGCCACTGAGCCTGCGCGTCCGGAGACTGTGCTCCGCAACGGGAGAGGCCACAACAGTGAGAGGCCCGCGTACCGCAAAAAACAAAAAACAAGAAAAACAAAAAACAGATGAGCAGTGTAAGCAGAGGAAGAAATGCTAGAGATCAGAAGCATGACAGAAATGAAGAATTCCTTTGATGAGCTTATTAGTAGACAGGAACAACTGAGGAAAGAATCTGAGCTAGAAGATATCTGAATACAAACCTCCAAAACTGAAAAGCAAATAGAACAAAGACTAAAAGACAAAACAAACAATCAAAAAAGAGCAGAATATTCAAGGTCTGTGAGACAACACAAAATGTGTAGCATACATGTAATGGGAGTACCAGAAGGAGAAGAAAGAAAGGAACACAGATATGCTTGAGACAGTAATTACTGGAAAATTTTCTAAGTTAGTGTCAGACAAGCCACAGATCTAGGAAGGAGCTCAGAGAACATCACGCAGGATGAATGCCAAAAAAGAAAGAAGGAAATAAAGGAAGGAAGGGAGGGAGGAAGGAAGGAGGGAGGGAAGGAAGAGAGGAAGGGAGGGAGGGAGGAAGGGAAGGAAAGCAGGAAGGAAGGAGGGAAGAAAGACTAGGCATATCATTTTCAATCTACAGCAAATCAAAAATAAAAGAATTCTGAAAGAAGCCAGAGGGAAAAAACACCTTACCTACAGAGGAACAAAGGTAAGAATTAACATCTGACTTCACCTGACAAAACATGCAAACAAGAAGACTGTGGAGTGAAATTAAGATGTAGGGAGAAAAAATACTCACCAACCTAGAATTCTTTACCCTGCAAAATTTCCTTCATAAGTGAAAGCGAAATAAAGACTTTCTCTGACAAACAAAAATTGAGGGAATTTGTTGCCAGTAGACTTTTTTTTTTTTACAGGAAATGTTAAAGGAAGTTCTCTAGAGGGAAGGAAAATAATATAAGTTGGGAACTTGGATCTATACAAAGGAAGAATGTTGAAAAAGTAGTAAGTGAATGTAAAATAAAATGAACTTAGCAGGCTTATTCTAAAATTTATCTGGAAGAAAAAATGTTCAAGAATAGATAAGAATATTTTGAAAAACATAGACAATGATGATGATTGGTAGTAGTGATGATGGTTGGGGGGGTGTAGATTATTAAGGATTTGAAAAATGTATCACTGGAACAGAATAGAGAGGCCAGAATTGGGCACATTTACGTGTGAAAATGGGGGAATGATTTTTATTTTTATGAATTTTTTTTTTTTAATTTTTGGCTGTGTTGGGTCTTCGTTGTTATATGTGGGCTTTCTCTAGTTGCGGCTAGCGGGGGCTACTCTTCGTTGTGCTGCACAGGCTTCTCATTGCGATGGCTTCTCTTGTTGAGGAGCATGGGCTCTAGGTGTGAAGGCTTCAGTAGTTGTGGCACATGGGCTCAGTAGTTATGGCTCATGGGCTCTAGAGCGCAGCCTCAGTAGTTGTGGCACACAGACTTAGTTGCTCCGTGGCACGTGGGATCTTCCTGGGCCAGGGCTTGAACCTGTGTCCCCTGCACTGGCAGGTGGATTCTTAACCACTGCACCACTAGGGAAGTCCCTGGGGGAATGATTTAAACCATATTTTCTTAAGATAAGGAAACTATTCAAATGCTGGTTTTGAAAAATTATCTATTTGGAGAAAAATTAAATTAGAAAGTCATCTTACAACCTTCTCAGAAGTTAATATTAAACAACCTTATGCTACAAATTTAAATGTGTTAAAAATACAATAGAAAAAAATTAATTTTCAGACTATATAAAACAATAAAGATAAACAACCTGATATGAAAAAACTAGACAAAGGGTATGAATGTAAAATTTACAGAGGCGAACATAAATATGTTCAACAAACACAAGAAAGAGGTCACCTCCCCTGAAGTCAGGGAGATGCAGTGCAATGCAGCAAGAGGATCTTTTCTTTTCTTTTTTTTTTTTTGCGGTACGCGGGCCTCTCACTGTTGTGGCCTCTCCCATTGCGGAGCACAGGCTCCAGACGTGCAGGCTCAGCGGCCATGGCTCACGGGCCCAGCCGCTCCGCGGCACGTGGGATCTTCCCAGACCGGGGCATGAACCCGTGTCGCCTGCATCGGCAGGCGGACTCTCAACCACTGCACCACCAGGGAAGCCCAGATCTTTTCTTTTTAATAACATGTATCAAGAATTAAACTCACTTTTAATATCAAGTGTTGATGGTGAAGGAATTTGGTACCTTCACATACTGTTGGTAGACCTGAAACTTAGTAGGGCATTATTTATAACTGTAGCAAAAATAGACACAAACTTATCAACAAGAGGCAGGTGAAGTATGGATACTACCTAGTAATTAAAGTAAATCTGGAGGAACTGACCTGGGAGAACATCTTGTTTGTTAAATGTAAAAAACGAAGTTGCAAAACACTATGTACAGTAAGATGAACTTTATGAAAAAAATAAACTACAAGCAGGACTCTATAAAGGTGTAGAGAGAAGTCTGGAAGGGTACACGCCAAGCACCCAAGGAGTGAGAAGGGAGTAACAGTTACTGAGTGTTTGCTTTGTGGCATGAGATTCTTTACATGATTCTTTAGAGATTCTTTGCATGTACTAGCTCTAAACTTCCCAGCAATTCTGAGGGTATAAAACCCTGGAGACTCTTAAATCTAAAGATTTGTATCTTTCTGTAGTTCAAGGACAATTTCTGAAATTATGTATTTGATTGTGTACTCCCCAGAAGTCTGTTTTCCCTTTCTATAACTCTTCCTGCATTGATTCTCTAGATCTTTTAATTTTTCTCTCATGTTTCTCACCTCTTCGTCTTTTTGTTCTATGTTTTAGGTCTCAGTGGTTATCAAACTTGAGGTGCACCCCAATCTCCTGGAAGGCTTGTGAAAATACAGATTGCTGGGCCCCACCCCCAGTTTCTGATTTAGTAAGTCTGGACTGGAACCCAGAAACTTTCATGTTAAAAAGTTCCCTGGTGATACTGATGCTGGTGGCTGGTTATCACATTTTGAGAACTACTGTTCTCAGGTATTTCTTTCACTTTGCATTTTTTTAGTTTGACAATTACATTTTTAATTTTCATGGACATTTTTATTGTTTTCAATTTTTGGATGATTTTTTTCCTTTGTCTATGAAAGAAAAACCTCCTAAAACTTCACTGAGGATACTAAGTAGATTTTTTTTTAATGTTATTTCCTATTCCCCACACTATCCCTGTTTCTCCTGGGTTCATAGCTCTGTTTGTTTATCTTGGTTCTTTTTTATGGGTCGTTGGTTTTACTCAAAGGTCTGGGGATCCTTGGCTATCCATTTATATCTGTGAATGAAGGATTTGTGTTTTAATATAGGTGGCTCTTACTGGTCTTCTCTACCAGCATAGGATCTAGTTTTTCAACAGCCCTCTCCTCCAAGTTGGAGCCTTGAGCATGTTGACTGGCAAGATTCCATTTAGAGGTCATGACCAGGACTACTTCTCTCCCAGCCCCCCCCAAAATGGGGAAGTCTTTTCTTGGGATGGCAGCACTGGCACGAGGAAGCCCAGGCTTCCCCCCAAATCCTGTTTCTTTTATAGGGCACCCTCTGGTTAGGCCTGGGTGGGTGCCATCTTGGCCTACTGTTGTGCTGACTCAAGACAGAGGCAAGCATAGGGTGGATGTTCTCTCGGACACAATTCTTTCCAGGTGGGCCTAAGACTCGCCATGATTTCTCCTCCCCACTGTCTCCTGCCCTCTGTGCCTGTACCTTCTGACAACAGAGTCTTCCCAGGCCCCCGTGAGCAGTGGTTCTTACTTTCTAGGCATCTACCTCTGTGGCTGCTTCCTCTGCCCTGCCCATGAGGATGGTCCCATCCGATTTTCTTCAAACTCTTCTGGTGGCCCCCTCTCCCGTTCTTAGTGCTGTACCTTTTATTTCCTTTTGCCATTTTTTAAACTAGTGTAAGCAATGTTAAAATGGGACTCTTCAGTTTGTCTGAGTCACCGATGTGATAGACAATCAGATTCCACCAAGTCTGAGACAGACCACCACATGCAGAACTTATAAAGAAAATGTCCAAGGAATGTTCCATTTCAAGAATACAAGGGAAGAGCAAGGAAAAAGAAATTGGGAGAAGTTCTTTGGAGACAGTCTTATTCTGAATCCCCACCACCACCACCTGCCTATAGGCCACCCACAGAAGGGCTGGGCCACAGTGAACAAGAGGGAGAGCAGGGAGCAGGGAGAGAGAAGCTGACCAGCCTCCTAACCCTGCTCCCTCCTCTTTCCTCCAGCTGCTCTGTAGCAGATTGGGAAGAGCTGGCCTCACTCCCTTTGCCCCCTACACTCTCACAAGAAGCCTGTGAGTCTGGGTAGCTGCTCTGTCTCTGGTCCTCACTCTCCTTTCTCTCCTACCCTGCCTCTTCCCTCTTCCTGCTTTCATTCCTCACCTGCCTCTCCCCTCTCTCATTTATTGCCAATAATACCAACCTCATATTGCTAAGTTCTTATCGCCACTTATCAAGGACTATTACACTCCTCCCTTCTGCTCTCTTTCTGTTTATTCAACAAACACCACTGCAGACTGTGGTGGTGGATCTTAGAGGACAATAAGAACACACAAGCACAAACAGTGCTATCAATCTCCAAGAGAGGGCAATGTGAGGGAGGGGCCCCAAATTCAGCCGAAGGTGTCAGGAAGGCTTCCCAGGAGCCAAGCCTTGAGGAAGAGTAGAGCTGGTCAGGAGAAGTGGATTTGGGAGGAGTCTTCCTGGTCAGAAAGAGCATCGTATGCAGAGTTCTAGAGACACACCAGAGGGTCACACATTCAGAAAGTGACATGCTCTGCCACTTTATTGCCCTTATTGTACACCTCAACCCTGAGAGGTAAGCAGTGCAGTGTAAAATACCTCTATTTTACAGATCAGGAAACTGAGGCTCAGAGAATCCATTCCACAAGCACTTCCAGACCAGCAATGTTTGCCAGGCAGTGCAGGAGAGGCTGACAGTGAAGAGAGAAGGATTTGATTGTTGCACTGGACTAGTCATATTAACTATAGGATTCTTGAGACTGGAAGATTTTTATTATTCAAGAGTGATCAGAAAGCCATGGAACCTGCTGGAAATTTTACTAGGGGCAGGAATAAAGGTATTTTCTGCTTATACTCCCTGTAGTCCCACTTGTTCAAAGTACCCATGTTTCTACATGCTGTCCATTTTTTTTTCCCATTAAAGCCCCCAGTGTATTAATCATAGTTATTTTAAATTCCTAGTCTGATAATTCCAAAATCTCTGCCATATTTGAGTCTGGCTCTGATACTTTGTCTCTTCAGATTGGATGTTTTGATGTTTGTTTGTTGTTGTTTTTTGCCTTTTAGCATGCCTTGGAATTTTTTGTTGAAAGCTGGACGTGATATATTGAGTAAAATGAACGAATAGGGCATTAGTGTGAGGTTTTATATTTATCCGTCTAGGAATTAGGATGTGTTTACTACTTGCTGTAGCTGTGGTGTTGGAGGCTAAAATTTCTTTTAGTGTTCTTGTTTTTGTCTGCCCTTTGTCATTAAGTTTCCTGAGAGACTCCTTCTTAAATAGGACCTGAGGTTTGCAACCTTTTAGCTATAAGTAATCCCCTGTTGTTGTACAGGAGTTCTGTAGACGTGGAGGTGAGGTGTGGGGTAGGGGACGCACTCTATGGTACTATGATTGGATCTCAGTCTTTTAGTAGGCCTGTGTCCCTGAGTATCATAAGTGCTTCTCAGCTCCCTCACCCCTTAAGTGAGACAGGAAGGCTATAGGGGACTGGAGTTGAATATTTTCCTTTCCTCAGATTGGTTAGTCTTGGGCAAAACTCAAGTCAGTCAGGCTATGGTAAAATAGTTTCTCTTGAGGGCAGGCAATGTTAAGGAGAACAGAGAGCTCTGGGCATATTCTAAATTGGTTACTCTCTCCCTCCTCTGCCAGAAGCAAAAGGGGAACCTTCTCCAATCTTCACATGAGACGCAGAGGGGCTCCTGGAAGTAAAAAGGTGTTGGGAATCCCCACGACTGTCCCCTCCAGAGTTTTTTGCTCTCAAGCTTGTCTATGCTGAGCTTCCAGCAATTTGTCAATTATAGTTTGTGTTCCTATCAGTACTGGCTCCAGCTGCAAGCTTCTGGTCCTGGGATTCTCCTGGTAAGATATGGTTCTGTGTATTCATCTGTTTCTCTAGTTTTCAGGGAAACAGGTTGCCCTATGATGTCAGTTCTCTGTGGATCTAAAAAAAGTTGTTGATTTCCAGTTCGTTTAGCTTTTTTCTTGTGCGAGAATGAGGGTGATGACTTCTAAACTCTCTACATAATATTCCAAAGTGCAAATAACCCAAATGTCCATCATATGATGACTGGATAGACAAAATGTGGTATATCCATACAACAAAATATTATTCAGCTATAAAAAGGAATGCAATACTGATATATGCTACAACAAGTATGAACCATGAAAACATTGTGCTAAGTGACAGAAGCCAGTCACAGAAGACCACATGTTATATGATTTCATTTATATGAAATGTCCAGAATAGGTAAATATGTAGAGACTATAAATGTTAGGGTTTATTTCGGACTCTCAAGTCTATTCCATTGTTCCATATGCCTATCCTTATGCCAGCACCACACTGTCTTGATTACTGTAGCTTTGTAGTAAGTTTTGGAATCAGAAAGTTTAAGTCCTCCAACTTTGTTCTTCTTTTTTGAGATTGTTTTGGATATTCTGGGTCCCTTATATTTCCACATGAATTTTAGGACCAGCTTGTCATTTCTGAAAAAAAAGAAAGAAAAAAGCCCGACTAGGATTTTGATTAGGATTGCATTGAATCTGTAGGTCAATTTAGGGAGTATTGCCATCTGAACAATAAGTCTTCCAATCCATGAACATGGGATGACTTTCCAAAGCTTCTTTAATTTCTTTCAACAATGTTTTGTAGTTTTCTGTGTACAAGTCTTGCACTTATTTTGTCAAATTTATTCTTAAGTATCTTTATTCCTAAGTATTTATTCTTTCTGATGGTATTGTATATTGAATTGTTTTCTTAATTTCATTTTCAGATTGTTTATTGCAAGTATATAGAAATACAGTTGATTCTTGTATGTTGACATTGTATCCAGTAACCTTGCTGAAGGACTATAATTGATTTTTTATATTGAATTTGTACCCAGCAAATGCACTAAACTCTCTTATTAATTCTAATACTTTATATTGTTGTGCAACCATCACAACAACACAATACAAAATGTATTGATGGACCTCACAGTCTTTAATCTGTTATGTGGCAAACTAATTGATTGATTGATTTTCTAATAATATACCAGTCTTGTATTACTTGAATGATGCAACTTGATGATGATGTAGCATTCTTTTTGTATCTTTCTGTACAATATCTGATATAATAGCATTTTTTAAAATGATTTTTAAAATCTATGTTCATGAGTGATAATAGTTTCTAATTTTCTGGTCTTATATTTTCTTTGTCAGATTATGGGATCAGGGTTTTGATGCCAACCCCCAAAAGGAAAAATGGATTGGGGATATTCCTTCTTTTCTATTCCCTGGGAGAGTTCACGTATGGTTGCAATTATTTATTTCTTGATTAATTGTGGACACTGTTGAAGTGACTTGGATCTGGAATTCTCTTTGTGACCAGATCTTTGACTACTGATTCAATTTCTTTGGAAGCCTATGAATATTTAGTTTTCTATCATCCTTGAGTTATATTTTCCCTAGCAACTTCCCTATAAATTTCAAATGTATACATAATATTTACAAAATTATTTTGTTATACTTTTAATGTCCATAGTGTTGGTAGTTATTTCACTTTTTTAATTCATGATATTGGATACTGTGCCTTCTTCTTTTAATGATGGGTCTTATCAGAGTTCAATTTTCAAAATCTTTTCAAATAATAAACTTCTAACT